CAAATAGGGGAACTTCTTCGAGAACACCTGGAGCGAGTGTCAGCATCATTGGCCAAAAAGACGACGCCAACACCCATCTCAAGCAAAACGCACAAACGGACACAGACCGACGTCCCAGCACCGAGTTCGACCTTGACAACAAATGTTCCTACCTTGACTCCAGATCAGATTTCAGCCCCAAAATCACCACCAAAGCTACCACAAACAACAACAATAACACCAACAATAACAACAGAGACAGCAACACCAACAATTGCAACATCAACAACAACAGCAACAACATCAACATCAACATCAACATCAACATCAGCAACAACATCAACATCAACATCAACATCAACATTAACATCAACATCACCACCACCACCACTACAAACAACAACAACACCACCACCACCACCAACAACAACAACAACAACACCAGCCCTAACCACAACGCCAAAAGCAACACCATCACCATCAAAATTCCCAGTCAAGAAAAAATCCGACAGCCATAAAACATAGTAAGGCCGCGACGGCTTGAGTTGCCCAGTTATCAGGAATGCTAATATCTTTTGTATTTCCTTTTACAGCATACACCGAAATAGTCTCAGGAACCTTCGAAAGGCTGCCCATCATCTGGCTGAACTCTTTGTTGCCACTGAGGAGGGGCCATACGCGCGGGTGGTTTGCGGTGAAGAGCAGTCAAAAAATGTCGTCACATCATGCTCATCCAGTGCTCATGAAAGAGAACATCCGCCGAGCATCCACCAATTCGACCATATGTACATCTCCGACGTGACCACTGCCACAATGGATCACTTTGTCGCCTCAATCAGTCGTCCTGGCAGTAGCTGCAAGGCAGCTCAACGCTCAACCATTGCCGCAGTCAGTGCGCCTACAAAGCAAACAAAGTTGAAACCCAAAGAAAAGGTGGAACACATCGAAACGGAGCTCATAACCAACACAAAGTTCATCGAAGGCGCCATCACCGTGTCTTCACCGTGCAAACTGCTGCGTCGGCGAAACCTCGACTTCCTCATGCTGGGCGCCAATGCCTTCACCGCCGAGCAGGTCGCCCGGACAAAGGTGATTGAACGGGGTGAGGAGAAGCTGAGTCCGTCAAAGCGCATCATCAAACTGCTGCAGGAGAATCCGCTGGACTGGTGCACGCCGGTGATGAAGCTGTGCCGATCGGCGGTCACTGCCGGCCGGTACGACCAGCCGCCGGCCAAGCCGAAACTGTCCATGAACCGCCGTCTGCTGGACCGAGGCATGGCCGACCTCAGTCAGCGAATTCGCCTGATGAACGTCGTCGCCGAGTACGGCGAGGACGTGCTGCAGTTTGACTTTGCCAGCAAGCCGGACGACGAACGCCTCTCTCATCTCATTCAGTTCTGCATGAAGGTCTCCAAGACGAAGGAGATCAACTTTCAGTTTGCCGTGTACATGGTCGCCGAGAGCTACCTGATGACCTTCACGCATGGACAGCTGCTGGAGGGGGTGGAAAAGTACAAAAAGCTACTGGACGCCTATGATATGAGGCGGTCAGTGTGCATCTAAACTTAACAAAAATACGCTATCAAAACTCAATTTGTTTTCACAAATTTTGTTTTTTACTTAAGTGTTAAAATTGTGATCTATTTTTATAAAAAAAAACTTTGTATTTTTAGACTAGATTTTGCTACAATGTTCTCTTAATTAAAGTTGTTTATTACTTTTAATCAGAACAAAAAGTACACAAACTTGTTTTCATTGCCTATCAGTGCCGCCAAGTTTTTTAGTAAAATAAGGACACTGTTCATAAAACGATGATATCGGCGCATATTGCAACCAGTAGCGATTAAAAAACAATGCAAGTTTATCATGAACAGTCATGTACGCAAGATTGCACAACTATTTTTCTGGCAGTGCAAAATGAACAAGTGCAAAAACAACAGTATATAAACATTACATTTTTCAGTTTATTTACAGTGCAAAACATTTTCACTTGTTACATTTTTACAAACCTAACAAACATGGAAACTTGGTCAATTTTGGCGCAAATTTTTGCAATTTTGGCTTTTGTTTATTAGTAAGTTCTGTAAAGTCTTGAAATTAACTTATTTGTAATATTGTTTTATATTTCAGCTATTTTAATCGAAAGTACAGTTTCTGGTCATCAAGAGGCATATCAGGTCCGCCTGTTATATTTCCTTTTGGCAATCTACTTGATTCAATTCGTTATGGTCAAGTGAACGTTGAACCGAAGTGGGCAGCAAAATACGGCCCCCGTTACTACGGCATCTACCGCGGATTTACACCAGTGCTCACTATTCTTGATCCTGAACTCATCAAAACTGTGCTTGTCAAAGATTTTCCGATTTTCGTAAACAGAAGTCTCAGTACCTTTAAGCATGAAATCCTTTCAAAGCATCTGTTTGCATCTGAAGACGAAATGTGGCGTCGCATTCGCAGCATCACCAGTCCTTCTTTCAGTTCGGGGAAGTTGAGAGGCATGCACGTTTTGATGGACAAATCAATCAACGACCTGGCTGCCTACTTTGACAAGGTCATCGCCAAAGACATCAAAGAGTTGAATATTAAAGAAGTGATGATGGGTCTGACTATCGACATTATAGCCGCCACTTCTTTTGGTACAAAAACAAACGCTAATGATGACCGAGAAAAGCAAAATCCATTTTTAGTCAACGGCATCAAGTTCTTTGAGTTTAGCTGGCTAAAGATAGCCACACAAACTATACTACCCAAAAAGTTCAATCAGCTAATTGGCAACACTTCACGAAGCGATCCTCGCAGTACTCAATTTTTCATTGACCTTTCCAGAGAGATAGTTAGACAGCGTAAAAGTCAAATGCATGATAAAAACTTTAAAAAACCCAACGATTTGGTGCAATTGCTAGTTGAAGCTTTTGTTTATGAAGAAGACCTGAAAAAGATCAACTACGATCACTTGACGGCAACGGATGGCGTGGAAGTGGAGGAAACTAAAACCGAACACAATTCTACTTCTGTCAAGAAAACGCTGTCCGAGTCAGAGATTATAGCACAGTGCATTATCTTTTTTGTGGCAGGTATGCAACAGCATTTATGTTTTCAACATAACAATAATAACAATAAGTAATAAACTCTTTTTCTGTCTAGGATTTGAGACTACGGCAACAAGTAAGTACTTACTATTTTTTATTTAGCTTTGCTCTGACTTTTTACATATTCTCAGCTTTGTCAAACTGTCTGTACAACCTGGCGGTGACCCCCGATGTGCAAGATCGCCTCGTTGAGCATATAGAGGCTGCCCTGGCTGGCGTCGAGGACAACAGTGCCGAGTACTTTGAAGTGGTCACCACAAAGATACCCTACCTTGAGGCGACTATCAAGGAGACACTTCGACTCTACCCTCCCGTGCCCAGACTGGTTCGACGAGTCGGCGTTGAAAGCTACAATCTGGGTGGAGTGATCCTCAAGAAGGACATGTCCGTGGAGATTCCCACATACGCAATTCACCACATGAGGTACAAAAATGTTTCAAACCTGAGGTTTTTAATTATAATCCATGTTTACATTCTTTGTTTTGCAGCAAGTTCTACCCACAACCTGAAGCCTTCCAGCCAGAGCGATTTTTGGCGGAAAACAAGCATGAACTGGTTCCGTACACTTACCTTCCGTTTGGCGCTGGTACGTTTTTTTCACATGATCAGTAGTTTCAGTTGTTATTAACTTATTTTTTTCTTTTAGGTCCGAGAAATTGGTGAGTTTGCCAACTGCTAAATTGAAAAAAACTTTTAAAAGTTACTGAAATTTATTTAATTTTACTTACAGTGTCGGCATGCGATTCGCCTACCAGGAAATGCAGCTGTGCCTTGCTCGGATCATTCGCAAATACCGCTTCTCAACGACACCAAATACTAAGGTTCCAATGGAGTTTAATAAGATAGGCATAATCAGCGCAAAAAATATTCCACTTTCTGTTAGTCGACGATAATTGACTGGAGCGAACAAAAACACCGAGCGAAGCGAGGTGTTTTTGTTAGTGACAGTCTACCGCTGGGTCAAAATCGGTGCGACAGATTTTTTTCGTTTAAATGTTTTTCACACTTCGGCTGTTCAGAATTTTACAAAACTTGGCACGATGACAGCTAAAGAGTTGTAGATCTGTACAACGTTTTCAGAATTAAAAAACTCCCAGCCGTTTGGGAGCTAGGGCCGTTCAAAGTAAAAAGTTTTTTTTTCTCATAGTGAAAAATGTGAGAAATATTGCGTCATCGCTCGAGAGGAAGAGAGTGGCTTTTCCAGACGAAGGCTTTTTACTGGATGTACCGATTACTACCAAACTTGGCACAATAATAGGTCAAGACTATAGGATCCAGACGATCCTTTCAGAATGAAAATCTACCAAGTATTTTTGAAGCTAGGCCCTTTCAAAGTTGACTTTAATGTGCGCCTGCGCACAAATGCACTGTGAAAGGTAGCGCTACTCTGAGCAGTGCTGTGAACTGCTGGGGAAAGCGCGCAGCTGCCAGTTGTGGCAGCTAGTGGCGTTAGGGTAGGGTGCGTGGGGGGGGTTAGGGGTTAGGGTAGGGTGTGTTGGTGGGTGTAGGCGTTAGAGTAGGGTGTGTGGGGTGTAGGGGTTAGGGTAGGGTGTGTGTGTGTGAGTGTTGGCGTTAGGGTAGGGTAGGTTTAGGTGTTGGCTTTGAAGTAGGTTGGTGGGGCGCCTCTACTCGCTCCAGTCAAAATCTACCGGTGAACACCTGGAGATCCCCTAGTTTNGTGTGTGTGTGAGTGTTGGCGTTAGGGTAGGGTAGGTTTAGGTGTTGGCTTTGAAGTAGGTTGGTGGGGCGCCTCTACTCGCTCCAGTCAAAATCTACCGGTGAACACCTGGAGATCCCCTAGTTTTAAGCGCCTGTATATTTTTTTGTAAAATAGTTTTTAAATACAGTGCAGTTTTTTAAAAAATATTTTTGTTTTAAAACAAAAAACATTTATTCTGGCAAGTTAGATGTACAATTGTTTGCACTAATAACTCAGTCAAAAATATACTTTCTCCAAAACTGACAAACACTTCGAAAGTATTCATTTTGAACCATTTTAAAGTGATTCATTTCAAGATGCATGTACTTGGTGAAGAAATCGCCATCTCTTCGATTTACCGCTTCCAGCCAATTGCCACTGTTCGGCTGACCGGTACGAGCAAAACTGGTCCAGCTTTTGATCATGTAACGGGCCAAGTCGTTATCCGCTTGCACTGAACGCGTCTTTCCGTACTGAAAGAGGTAGTAGAGATCAGCCCCATGGGGAACGCCAATCCAGGCGGGTAGAGCAGCGCCCACCGGCCCAGACTGCATCAGACGGTAGGCGAAGACCTTGCCGAGGGCTGAGGCTGACCGAGAATGCGCCCGTGCCAGCTGTTCGCCGAAGAGCATCGACGGACAGACCATCAGCGAGTCACTCCACACAGAAACTAACATCGATCGCAGCTGCTCCTGCGTTGGACTGGGCGGCAGAAGGTGGCGGTGGTAAAAGTGGGCCACCTCTTCTCCCACCCGTTCACTGCGTCCATCAGAGGCCATCATTTGAGTGATGTACTGCCGGGTGGAGTTGACCGTCAGCCTGGTCGTCGCCAGTGCCAGTTCGGGAAACTTCTGCAGCAGAAAGAAGCTGCCCTCGTCTCGGGTGAAGCCGTACATGTAGTCGATCTGGTGGAAACCAGTGCTACTGCTTCCATTCTGCAGCAAAGCAGCGCTCGGGTGAAGCGGCAGCAGCTCGTCGGCGCCGTACACCGGAAAGAAGAGTTCATACGTTGGCATGTCCGTCAGTGTGGCCGCCTGCAATTGCGCCACCGATTTTCTGCTGATGCACTTGACCACTTCTTCTAACTGAATTGAGGTGCAATTTAGCTTTTTCCCATACACTTTAGTGCGTTCTACTGCTTGTTCCTTTGTGATAACGGTAAAGTTCACCGAGGGCGACCCTGACTGGGCGATGGCTCGTTTGAAAAGGCCTTTGGCGAGTGGTGACACCACCAGGGCGCCCACTGACTGGGCGCCGGCTGACTCGCCGAAAATGGTGACCAGTTGCGGGTCGCCGTTAAAACCGGCAATATTTTCCTGGACCCATTTAAGGGCAAGAACCTGAAAAGGTTGAAACAAGGAAAAATACAGCAGAACAAACAACATTTATCCAATCATACCTGATCATGCAGTCCTAGATTTGGCGGCACCGAATCACTCTGGCCATCAGTGAGAAAGCCCAGCGGCCCAAGGCGATAGTTGAAGGTGACCACGATGACATCACCCAGAGAGGCAATGTACCGAGCATCATAGTCACCGAAGATGCCTCCCACTACAAAGGCACCGCCGTATATCCACACCATCACTGGCAGCAAATGTGAAGAACCCGAAAAACCACTTTTCTTCCACACATTAAGAAATAGACAGTCTTCACTGGCGGTGCTGTCATTGGATGGAATGCGAAACTGAATGCAATTTTTGCCGGCGGAAGTAGCATTGTAGACGCCAGTCCACGAGTTTACTGGTGAGGGTTTTTTGAAACGGTCGGCTTTGCCTTGATGAAAACATTAAACAGTTATCTTTTATTAAAATGAGCAAAACAAATAGATAAAACTTACCAAACTTAATAGCTTCATAAAACTCTACTTGAAGGCCATCCCCTGCATCAATTACTGAACCGCGAATTTGACCGTTTTTCAACTGAACAATACTAGTGTAGTTCACAACTGCATCACCAAGTGAAGCAAAATTGCTGAGGTGTGCAACAAATACAATTAAAAATGCGTAATTTAACATAATTTTTGAGTTGATACTTAAGCGTAACTGCACTTTATAATTTATATACACTTTATTTGATTTAATATAAATTGAAAATAAAGATAAAGTAGTTATAAATTAAGATTTATCTTTTAAGTGCAAAGTATCAATAATCAATTACATACTTTTTTACGTTACAATCAATTACACAATATCAGTTGTTAGTCATGTTGCATTTTTGGCAATTTGTGTTCAGCATATCATTAATTTCAAATTAACTTGAGTGTCTAAAAATAAAATATTGTTTGTAGAAACAAAACTTCAGCTCATCTAATTAATTGAACAGTTTAGCGTCAAAACTTTGAAACATCTGCCGATTGCTGTGTTCTTGAATATCTTTGAGTCGATCATTGTCCACAGGACAGCAACGTGCTCACATGTAAGCTACAGTGCATTTTCAAACATAAATATTTTATAAATCAACATTATTACACAATCGTTTTTGTAAAATTTGACTTTTACAGCATTTGTTATTTGGCATTTTGATAAAACAATCGATGCCAGTATATTAATAATTCAAAATTAGTCCGTGCGTAATTATGATACCCAAAATGAGGTGACTGAATAGAGACTGGTTGCTGGATAAAACGAGCACCAAGGTTTGTGAGTGGTAATAAATAAACTTGTGAAAATGAATAAAAGAAAAGTCAACTTTTGTCAGAAGGCGATTGATTTGATGCATTCGCAGAAAAACAATCAAAGTGAAAAGAAACATCAAACTAGTGAACAGTATGTTTGTTGTAGACACAGTGTAGACTGTGATAGCAAAAAGAAAGTGATTCCACTCAAAAAACAGTAAATTGAAGATCAATGTGGGAATACTGCAGACACTAGTTTGGTCAGCACAACTTTCACTGCCACCGAGTTTGAACCAAAATTGCCGAACAAATGTAAATGCATTATAACGGTACCAAATTACTAATGACATTGTTGAAATTAGCGTGTACTGCATTAGGGCACCATATCCAGCCCAGCAGTAACTAACTATTTGAGAAATTGAATATTTTTTATTTTTTGTTTGATTTAAAAAGAAAAATTTTGTTTCTTTTTGGAACACAATACGATATAGTAAAACTTTAAACTGAGTGACTTTTTTTCCTGTTCTACTATTTCCAAAAAAAGATATTTTTTGATAAAAATAAAAAGATTGAATTGCAAAAAGAAGCATCAGTAGCGCAAAAACTGCCTGTGGAGCACCAACAATAAGTGACATGTCATAAAAAATCAATCTATGAAAAGGAGTAATTAAAAGTTGAGTTGCTTGAAAAATATTATTTATCATTTGCCAAGTGATGAGAAAAAGTAAAAATAATTTTTTCTGTTTTTTAATTGGTGACATGCAAACCGTCGAAGAAAGAAGAAACTGCTTTAAATACAATTTGATGTTTAAAAAGTTAAACATTTTTTACTTTAAGTTTTATTGAAACAAGTTTTTAAACATTCTAAGAAAAAAATATTTTTAGCTTTGTGATTTTAACAAAAAAGTTAATGTTTTAAGTGCAAAATGTATCAAATGAAAAATATCCTAAATAATTAAATTATGTTTGCATAACAATTGTAATTTATTTTTATTTTACCATTTGAAATTGCTATGTTACAACAAACATTATTTAATGGAGCAATATTTAAATGTTTAGCAAAATTTCGTTATTTTAAATAATTAATTGCTTTTTAAAAATAAATATTTAATAAAAATTTTTAAATAATATCGTTTAATAATAATATCATATATTTTAAATTAGTTTTCAACTCAAAAACCTTTTTTATTTTTGACAAAAAGTTGTGTAATGTGTGCAGAATAAATTTGATCTGTTTTATTGTGAAAACTTTAAATTTTTTACAACTAATGACAGTGTTATGTTTGACAAACTTTAATCTGTTTTCATTAAAACATTAAAAAACAAAATTTGATAAACGCGCAAAACTCTAGATAAAAACCAGTGGGTGTCAAAATAGGCGCGCCTGCCTCTTTAAAATAGAACGCCAGAAAGTTTTCGGGTTCGATTTTGTTTGTTTACATTCTCTCACCAGCCGCCACTCTGAACAGTCACGTCATGGTTAACAACTTTAATGGTTTGTAGCATTGAGTTTATTGTTTTAATTAAACTTTTAAAATTAAACAAAACAATTTTTAACTTATTCTCAAGAACAAATCTGTTTTAAAGATAACTAACAACTTTTTACTTTATTTAGAACAATCGGCCAAGTTTAATGGAGCCGGTAACCAAAATGTCAACAAACCAAAGGTTGGTGGGAGTTCTATGTCTGTGAAACCGCAA